AATGTGAGTGCTTCCGTATACTGAACGGTTCCCACCCTGCCCTCATCCAGCCCCGACCTCCCCCACACTGCAGAATCGTCTGCTGGTGATCAACGCCTCTGTTTGAATGTTGACAGGAAATCTCAGATCGACGTGTCCGATGTTGAACTTGGTGCGGTGATGCCCCTTGCAGCCTTTTGATCTTCCCGATGGCAACTCTGCCCTTTGCGTTGCGGGGTCAGAGACCTTAGCTCTTCTTTAGCTCCTCTCTTCACCACTCCCCACCCTCATCTGTCAGCAGATCCTGGTGGTGTTCCCATCGGAGTATTTCCAAGGTCCTAACCAGCATGATCTCTCACCGGGGTTATTGTAACAGGTCGTCTCCACAGGGCCTGCAGCCCAGCCCTCCTCTGCTCAGACCCCTCTCCGGGCTCCCCGCCTGGCTCTGCATAAAAGCCAGCACTCTTACTGTGGTCTCTTTGGCCTCCGCTCCTCCTCTCCCCTGCCTCGCCTCTGGCTGCTGGAGTGCTCTCTGAACATACTCGCTGTTTTCATGGGCCTCACCCGGCTCCCCCGCCTGGAGTGTTCTTCACCCCAATGGCCTCCGTTTTCAGGCCTTTGCTCTCTCCGACCACCCTGTGTAAAATTTCAACTCCTGCTCCCTTGGCTCCTTCACCTTCTTCCGCCAGAACGTGCGCTTGTACTGGTGGGAAGGTCTCTTGCTGATGTGTCACCAGGGCCCAGAACAAGGTCTGGCACATCGTGAGCTCTCATCAGATATTTGCTGAATGAATGCCTTTAAACAGGATGTCGTAAGCTTTGATGGTTATTAAACATAAAACAGCGTTTCATCTGAAATGGATCTGAGAATGATGGAGTTACCGTTAGCATTTTTCTCTGATTTGGTTGATGAATTTGTACATGACTGTTCCTTTATGCTACAGAGAAGGAGTGCCGGTTTTCTTCCTTCATTTTGTTTTTATAGATGTAGACACTGAAGACTGCCTGATGAGAGAGGCATGGGAGGTGTTTTGTCACAGCTATGACATTCCATCCTTGGACTTCAGAATCCTGTATTTTCTTGATCTTTCTGCTGACTGTTAGATCAGGTTCCTCCCTTCATTTTGCTGAAAGCAGAGAATTGGAAGCCGTCTGACTTGGAAAAGACTTTCTGAACACAGACATCAGAGCCCCTTAGCATCACGGTTTCTGAGGCGTTCATAAAAGCCACTTTCCCAAGACCTGTCAGCTGACCATTAATCATACCTGTCTTCACTTGGAAGCATCTTGTTTTATCTGAGATTCTCAGGAAGAGTTGAGAACTTTGAGATATTGGTTTTGTTGTACCCTTACCAATGTAAAAATTTAATGCTTTGTACTTCCTCAAAAGCTGGAAGCTGCAGGTTTAGCTCATTCAATGAATAAGAAATATCTCTCCGATGCTTTAGTAGGCAGAACCAGTTCTGATTGTCAGCTCAGTCAGCAGTCAGACTCACTCTCTCTTGGGAGAAGTGTTACTTATTTCTAGGATGTGCCATCCGCCGCCTCACTTCCGAGTTTAATTGCTGGCAGTTAGGTGAGGCTTGGACCCAGTCACCTGGGCAGAAGAAGGTGCCATATGCCTGTGGCTTATTGATTCCCTGTTTGCTTGCTTCTCACAGTGATCATGTGTTCTTTTACAGTCCTCTAGGGATTGAATTCACTAAATGAAAACTTTTTAAATTTTTTGTTTTTATTTATTTTTGAGAGAGAGAGACAGAGGGTGAGCAGGAGAGGGGCAGAGAGAGAGGGAGACACAGAATCCCAAGCAGGCTCCAGGCTCTGAGCTGTCAGCACAGAGCCCGAAGTGGGGCTCGAAGTCACGAACCGTGAGATCATGACCTGAGCCGAAGTTGGATACCCAACTGACTGAGCCACCCAGGTGTGCCCCAAAGCCTCTAAGTGAAATTTTAATCCATGCTGCCATCAGACTCCACAAGATGTCTGAATTCAAGACATTCCAATATGAACTGGGATGTCTTCTTTATAACACCATACTTTGCCCTTAACAGAACTGGGTGTCAGATGGGGAAAGCACAACCCTGCCACGTGCCTCCATTTCCTGTGACCTTTGTCCACTGGGATGTTTGTGCCTTGGGGCAGTGCATCATGGTAAGAAGAGAGCTGAGAAGTCAACCTTCTGCTTATAGTGGGAACAGCTATGAGAAGGGAGAGGGAAGGAGTGGCCGGTGGGAGTCTGACCTCGTGAGACTGTCAGGCAGCTTTCTTTTAGGGAATGCACCCGGACACTGGCCACCTAGAAGTGGGTTCTCCTGGAGCTGTTTGTGCCCACATACCCCTCGGCCAGTCTCCTCCCAGGAATACCCCTAACCTGGCTGAAAGTCAGTGGCATACGGTTCCTCTCCTTGTAACCCTGAGGGGCGAGGATAGGCCGGCCCAGTGAGCTGGGTGCCAGGAACTTTCCTGCTGCGTTTCACTGTTGTACTCGAGCTGTTGTCCAGTTATCTGAGAAGCAGGAGGTTTTCAGTCGCGGCAGCCTAACACAGTGACGCAGTGGGCCGTCCCAGACTTGGATGTGGCACACGCTGGGTTACGGACGCTGTACACGAACACCGTGCCTGCTGGTCCAGAGCTGCGCGGCCTTTCTCAGTCTCCACCCTGCAAGGCGCCAGCTTGGGAGCCGGACCCGCGAGGTGGGTCAGCAAGAAGTCTTCACTGGGGCCTTCGCCGAGAAAATCACAGGAAATAAGAGATGCTCTTAAGTGTGCTTCCTCTCCGTACAGTCTGCTTGCTCCCCAGCTGCTTTTTAAGTAGGACATGGCGTTTCTAGGCAAATTCAATAAATAAATAGAGTGGCTCGGGTCCCAAAGCTGTGTATGTCCTTAGACGAGACAAGGAGTGCTGCCTCAGCAGCAGATCATTCTCCTGACACAGACAAAAACTAGAACTCTCCGCTTCCTGTGTGCCTTCAACCAGTTCAGAGATGATAAATTGTAGTAATTATTAAATGAGAGCTTGGCTAGGACAGAGGAGTATGGTAAAATCAAACCCGCATTAGACCAAAGCACAGTTTCTTTGGAACTGGTTGGCAGCCTTGTTGAAACTATATAATCGTGAAGTGGAAGGCCAACTAGATAAAAACCACAGTGTGGCAGGACGCGGTGGCTGGAGCACAGCCTGGAGGAGCGAGAACAGGCGAGAGCAGACGCGGCGCTGCACCGGGAGCCGGGGCGACAGCACGCACAGCGCCCGCCGCACCGCGTGCAGAGCCCAGCGCCAGACCCCCCTGCCGCGGCGGGCGCCCGGTGACACAGGAGCCTCGCAGCCGCAGAGCCTCTGGTGGGCATGGCTGTGCTCTCATGACTCCATACCTGCGATGCCCCTTGTTTGCAGAGTTCTTGTATCTGGAGGGAAAATTTTTCCCCCCAAACAGTCTTTTCTAAAGACTCTCGGTGCTGTCAGTCACTGATCCAGGGGTACCAGGGAGGGCTAGAAATAGCCGTATCAGATGAGTGGGGAAGGGTAGAATAATCTAGGCCGTGTGATGGTCGAGGCTACAATGAGGAAGAACATGCTGCCTCGTTCCTGTGAGTGAGCGGGCTGCAAAGTACATGAAACCGTAAGATCGCTGTGAGAAAGTAGGGAAATCAGATGTTTCTGTCATCTGGGTTGGGAAAGATCTTGGTAAGCACAGGACCAAAGACAAACCACAGAAAGACGGGCTTCAGGGTGAGAAGTAGTTGAACCACAAAGTCAGTGACAAACCAGCAGACTAAGAAACACTGTAAAAATACAAAAGGCAGAGGTTGATCTTCCTAAGAGCTCTTCTATATTGGTAGTTAAAAGATGAATACTTCGGTGATAAAAGGACAGTTAAAGAACATGAGTCATTCGGTTCTTGCTTTAAAAATGACCCATAATATGAAATAAATTTCAGCCTCACTGCTTTTCAGATGAATGTAAAACAGAAATACGGTCTTTCTCCTCTGTCACACTGGCAAAGAATGAAAACATTGGGGTCTGTAAATGTTGACACAGTCTCGGAAAATTGTTGTAGTGATGATCTGTTTGACACTAACAACTCTGTGTTAAATATTTTATGTAAGCAGCTGAGGGAAGCAATAATATGTAGTATTGTTGATTTGTTCATAGTGATAAATATTTAGGGGAAAGTTGAACTTTCTTATTAAAGATGGTGTTAATTTTGCCAGATTGTGAAGTTCAGAGTAACTGAAAACCCCGGTGCGTTTCCGGCTTGGAGCGCAGGCGTGAGCGCCCTCTGCTGGCAGCAGCACGAGTAGCGCCCACAATTCACCCGCAGGCCAGGCTCGCCTGGGGTGGGTGGACTCTTAGCAGAAGCAGAGGCGGCTGGCGCAGTTGCAACTGTGCTGTGGGGTCTGTGACCTGGTGCCACCCTGCCTCCACACGTCCTCCTGCATGCCCACCGGTGCCCTCCAGCCCCGTTCCAGGGGCCGCGCTCTGTTCAGAGGGCTGCACCGAGCACTCAGCCAGTCGCCTCGCAAGTGTTGACTGTGCACGCTCGCTGGGGCAGGGGCTTGTGTGGTTCACTGCCTGTCCCCAGGGCCTGGAGCACCCCTCGGACCTGACACTCTCATGGGGCAGCCAGCCGCAAAGAGATGACCTTGCAGCTTACCCAGGATGGTTACCTGTCATGAGATGTGTTTGAAGGGGGCACACCGGTGCTGTGATGCCGAGTGGGACGGGGCCAAGGTGAGAACAGGGCTACCCGGGCCGGCTCTGGGCGACTGAGGGATGCCAGCGCCTCCCCTGAGCGCACATGGCCGGCGAGGAGACAGACAGCAGGCAGGGTCGCGGGGAGCCGATTTAAGTTCATCATCAGGGCAGGGGCAGGATTTGGTGACGTGAGGAAGGAATCTTGCAGTCTTGTTTTTTAACTCTTAATTCTCTGTTTTTGCCGTATCCTAACATAGTGTTTGCTTTCTGTTAACTTTTTTTTTTTAATTTAAAGGATTTTTTGTTTTGTTTTGTGTTTTTGATAGATGAGGGTTACTACCAGGGTGGAAAATTTCAGTTTGAAACTGAAGTTCCTGATGCGTACAACATGGTGGTGAGTAGCCTGCGTTTGAGCCGTTGTTTCCCCTTTGCGTGGCTGGGTGGCCGTCCCGGGGCCCAGCACACCCCCACTGCATTGGGTCCCCCCAGTCCTGGGACTGAGTACAAAATGGCCAATATTTCTGGTTGGTGTTACTCGTCAGCAGGATTTAGAGCCTTAGGGGGAGATTCATTTCTCAACAAGTACTTGGGACTACTGTGTGCCAGGCAGCCTGCACTGGGACCTCCGCTGTGCCTAGGCTGGCACCTTCCCTGGGAGCTGCCTGTATGGTTCATGGAAATCCTATCTGTTACATTCTAGCACTGAAGAGGAAGGCATTTTATTTAAAACCGTAGTTCTGTTCACGGTATGGCACCAAAACCCTCGAAGTGTAGAAAACATGTACTTAAGAATTTCAGAAAAGAAGAATGCCTTATAGGTTTAAACCATAATTTATACCCATAGCTACATGTTAATCTCTCAAAGACCCACCCTAGGTAATATTCACACCAAATGCTGTCACATTCTATCTTTATCAGTTAGGAAGGTGAGACAAAGTAGAAAGTTACCATAGCGTGAGAAAAGCAGTGAATAGCAGACAACAGAGCTATCGAGCAGGGACAGGAAACTAATTTACGTGAATTCAGAGAAGGAAAGGAGAGGGTCATTTTGGGAAAGTGGTCGGGCCATTTGAGCTTTAAGGAGGAACAGGATTGGACTTGTCCTGACTTGGGTTGGCCCATAACCAGGGGAGGGTGGTGTTGAGGTGACGTCGAACTTTCTGGAACTGTGTTGACAGGTACAGAAATGAGAATTAGCAGCCTGCGTGCGGTGGATTGACCAAGTCGACCTGAAGGAACAATCAGGGTTGGGGAGTGAGCAACTCAGATGTGAGGGTTGTTGAGCGTTTTCACTTTGGCCTGAGAAACTAGTGACAGTTGGGAACATCTTCACAACTTTGTATTTATATGTATGTGTGTAAACATCCCCCTGATGCTTCCTAGCCCTCTCTAGGCTTATCAAATAGGAAAGAAAAATCCACTGGTAAAATTAAGCCCCTTGTTAACCTGAGGCTGCGGATACTGGGGACACCACGTGTCCAGTCACTTTACCTGCAGTGACTCCGTGTTGTCTGACAAGTGGGATTAGGCTCCCCTGCCCTGGGCCCTGGGCCCTGGCCCCACCAATGGGGTGCAGTCCAGGGGCTGTCACACTTTTTTGTGTGAAGCCAAACCTTTACCTTTACGGGGCTACGACATTGAAATTTCTTTCTGAACGTAGCTTATGAGGATGGGGTAGAGTTGGCAGTAAGGGAAAAAATATATTTTGAAGCAAAGACAGGAAAATAGGCCTTTCAGGTCTTTGTCCACGCATCCACCCAGCTACCTACTGACTTTGCATATTTCCCTAATCACAGACCGAGGAGTCTGGCTCCACAGAACCCCATACTCCCTCAGGTGAGATGTGGCTGGAAAGGTTTGGCTTCAGCACAGATGTTTACAATTCCAGGGGCTATTTTGATGTTTTCTGGAAACAGCCAGGCATACGGTACTTAAGATTCCAGACTTTTCAATTATCTGGACGTACTCTAAGGATTCCTCATCCAAAGAATGTTAAATTAAAGGATGGTAAGTTTGTGACAGTCTTTTTGGAGAGGCAGTGAGTGTTTGAGGAGGGGGGTGGCTTGGGGAGGGCCTTAGCATGAGCTGGTAGACTTTTCGAACAAGCCTTGCGGGATCTGAGACCCGCTGTCGCGGGTACGTGAGGCACCACTGAGTAGCGGAGTGTCGGAAGAGGGCGGAGCATGAGGAGATGCCAAGGAAGGAACCGAGTTTTGTTGAGAGCTTTCATGTGCCAGGTGCCCCCGCTCACTTGTGTCCCTCCCCGGGAGTTCCCTGGGGGACGTTAATACGCTCATGTTCATGCGTCAGGAAGCTGGGGCCCAGAGGGCTACAGTTGGGAACTTCCCTCATTAGCTTTGCCAGAATAAACCATCAGGTGCTGAAGTGGATTCCTGCCCAGGGCTGCCTGGCTACCTAGCGTGTGCCCTTCTCACCAAACCGGGTGGCCACTCTGTAGTGAGAAAATGTTTGTCATGTTGTCCTGTCCCTGTGTGACTTCTTCCAGAAACGGAGAGAATGGGACACGGCATAAACAAGATAGAAAACCACTGGGCCTTGAGGATGTGTTTTTTTATGTTAATTAGTGATTTATGATGATTTTACATTTTTATATTTAGTTTCTATCTCCTTTGGGAAATTTCTGAATGATCGGCTGGTTTCATTTCATCAGGAATGAAACCAGTGTCCTCAAGCAAGGGGCACGGAGGGGCCAGCCTGTCCGGGTGGAGCCAGGCCCTGCCACTGTTAGGACCTCTCCCCCCCCCACAGGCCCCTTTGCCTGTCCCACTGCCTCATCCAGGCTGAGACGGTACAGTGGTCCCTGGGGCGGGGGGGGGGGGGGAGGTGACACCGTCCCCGGGAACCCGAGCGTGGCTGATACAGAGGTACTTGTGTTTACTCTTTTTGTATTAATCTTCGCTTACCTAACTCCTCGGTGTCCCTTTCGGCCACACTGGCGGCTCCCCGAAGCGGGGTCTGGAGCACCTTTCTTTCGCTGTATTTCCAGTGCCCGCCACATGGTGCGCACTTTCCCGCGGGGGGGGGGGGGGCGCTCCGCCCATACGAACCTGCGTGCAGGAGATGAAACCAGCATATGAAAATGCGTAGGTTATGGGCATTTGGGGCAGAGATTGTGAGAGTAAACAGCAGGGACCCGTGCTTCATCTGCATGAGGAGACGGCCAGCCTGGGAGGGCCCCATGGAGCCGCCTCGCTCATTTGTTCTTATGCTTTTATGTTCTTTGTAAGGACTTTGCTAACACCCCTAACACGGCACCCCTAACGCGGTAACTTTTTTTTATTTTACCATCATAACAAGACTAACGTACGTTTTCATGTCAATTAACATAATTACATCATCATTAGAACACTTCACTATACGCGTCATGGTTTTAAGTCAGTCCTTTATTGTTGGTCGCTAGTTGACCAGTTGTTGACAGTACGAACCAGACTTTCTGTAGATAGTAAATATTTCAGGCTTTGTGAACCATTTTTGGTCTCTACCACGTATTCTTTTTTTCCGTCACAAACTATGTGGGTTTTTTTTAAACGATCTTTTAAAAACGTAGAAACCATACTCAGATCCCTTGCAGAGACAGGCCCGCCTGCACTCGGTTCACCAGGCTGCGGTTCGCTGCCCCCCTGGCATGAGCAGCTTTGTCATGCGTCCCAGACAGCACTTGCCGTACGTCTGCCCCTGCCCGTGGCCTAAGCCGGTAGGCGTGGAATTAAGACCGTGGAGTAACGGATACCGGGTTTGAAGCTCTTCGTCAACACTATTAAATCCGCCCCCCCAGAGGTCATGCCAGCAGCCTCCTCACCGTCACTGCCTGGAAATTCCCTTTTTCCTCACAAAGATGGAATGTTTTGATTATTTTGATCTTTGCCATTTTGGGAGGAAATAAACGGTATCTAATTGTCATTTGAAGTTTTGTTTCTCAAATAAGTAGGGTGCTAAATATCTTTTCCTATTTATGAGCTTTTTATGTTCTTTATGAACTGTAATTATGTCCTTAGCCCCTTTTTCCATTGGGATGTTTGTTTTTCTTACAAGAGTTCTTAGCTAGAATTTATATGAAACTTTTTTCCCCAGTTTTCTTGGTTGTACTGTAAGGATTTTTGTTTTTCCTTTGTGTTTTGATGTTGTTCTGTAAAAGTTTGAGGTTTTTGTGCTTCACCACTGTCCTCAAATGTACTTTTGTTTTACAAGTTTTTCTTGTTATGAAATGCTTAAAACAGGCCTTCAGACTCACCAAGGTAACTCGTCAGCTTTTTCTTCCAGTGCTCAAAAAAAAATGTTTTTAGCGTTTATTTTTGAGGGACAGAGCGAGCAAGTGCGCGCACGCGCGTGTCCGAATGGGGGCGGGGCAGAGAGAGAGGGAGATCCAGAGTCCGAAGCAGGCTCCAGGCTCCTAGCTGTCAGCCCAGAGCCCGACGCGGGGCTCGAACCCAGAGACCGTGAGATCGTGACTTGAGCTGAAGTTGGACGCTCAACTGACTGAGCCACCCAGGCGCCCCTCTTCCAGCACTCTTCTAAAGTTCTGTGTCATTTGTGTTTAATGCATCTGGAATACGAGTCTTAAGTGGGGATCCGACTGGGGTTTTCCAGATAGTTTGCCAGATGGATTCTGATGGAAGAATCCCTTTTTCCCCCACTGGTTTGCACTGCAGTAGCGGTCACATGTCAAACTCAGCCTGTGACGGTGGGGGGGGGGGGGCCATGCCGGGTAGCAGGTGGAGCTGGGTATTTCTTGTCTGTCTTGCCTTAGGGGGGTCAAGGCAGCAATTTGTGTTTGGAAAGCGTGTGTCAGAATCCGGGTCCGGGGTTCTGATTTGCTCTCTGTTATGGGGACTGAGGCTTAGAGGACGACCATCGACGGGGACAGGGGAGGTGTCTGTGCTGGCATCTAACTGTGGAGGGTGTAAAGGGACAAAGGGGGGGGGGCAGCTGCAGTCAGATACTTGGAGATCTAGTGAACACTAGGCGAGGTGACAAGAGTGTCGGGGACTCTCTAGACGGGAGGGAGAGCGGGCCTTCGGGTTCCCTCAGATTCGTACAGCCCGGAGTGCCAGCCTGCCCCCGCCCCCGCCTGCAGGCCTCGCCGGAAACGCACAGCCACGGCATAGTTTCTGTCAAAGGCCTTCCACTTTACCTGCAGGAAAGCAAATTAGAGCATATTAAGTTGGTTGAAACTCACTCTGAACCTAATCCTGTAATCTTTGGACACCTACATTTGCAGACCTGGATTAAGCCCTTGGGGAGTTTCTTGGTGTGATGATTTTTCGTGTCAGTAGAAAGATTTAGGAGGGTGCTGGAAAGTATGTCTGTTTTGTACAGACAAGACGGTGGAACTCTTCAAGGACTGGAAAAACGCAGGAGAGCCTTTGGGCGGTGAAATACTTTATAGGTTAGTAACAGATAAACATCTGATTACGGAGACTTTACCAAAGAATAGCATCATAACCGCACGTGATACACTGGGAAGACGAAGACGTCGCCCCCTGTGACAAAGGGCTCCCACTTGAGTATCTGTGAGATGATGTGTCTGTGAGACTTGGCGAGGTGACCCTTGCATGCCTGACCAGCTCCGTCCCTGGGGGACCTGTCTCACGCACGGGAGCGGACACACGTGCTGGTCGAGCCCAGCCTGTGGGACGGGTGGGAGGCAGCCTGTGAATGCCCAGTCATGGGAACTGGCTCGTGAAATGCAAGTATCTGTGCCACGGCAGGCGAGGAACCCCAAAACCATCTGAAATGGTGAGAGATGCACGTGAAAAAGTAGAGCGCACACGCCCCCGTGCCTCTAAAGAAAAACGGATGTGCCGGAACACAGCTCTGCCTAGAAGAGAGGCTCGAGGTGCAGATCGGATGTGAATGCAGATTAATTCTGGGTGGGATCATCACATATCACAAAAGGAAAGATCTTGCCCTGTGTTTTTGTAGCTTTATTCCTCAAACAAGTCCAGAGTGCTTTTATCATGGAGTCACTTTAAAAGAACGGCTTTCTGCAAACATGCCTCCTCATAAGCGAAGTCCGTGTGCCTCACTCCCACATACTTGTTTTCATTCTCTCTCCCTCCCGTGAGTCTAAAGCAGACTAAGACGTGGGTGTGGGACAGTGTACGTGCAGTAGCATCTTCAGAAACACCTGCACGGGGACCCAGCTACCACCGGAAGGAGCGGTGACCGCAGCCACAGCTCGGCAGCTTAGCACGCAGGGCCCCCGTGTGAACTGGGCCGGTGGCACAGCGTGGGCTCGTCCGCAGCCCCTGCGGGGGGGGGGGGGGGGGGCGGGGGGGGGCCGAGGCCCAGCCACCAGCACCACGCGCCCGTGGGCCCCGGGACTTGTAGAAGGGTTGTGTTGGGGGTGCGGGCAGGCTTTGTCAGGGAGACTGGCACGTGTGGATGCGGCGTGAAGACCACTCCCACGCGGGTGACACGAGCCGGTGTCCAGAGCTGAAGACTGGTTGGCCGTGCAAACAGTGGAACGAGGGCTAGATGGGGTCTGTGGCAGCAGGCATGATTTGGAGAGCCCGTGATCTCTTCCTTTCTCTCTGTGTTGCAGCCTCCCAGAGTGAAATGCCTGACCAGGATCTGGCACCCCAACATCACAGAGACGGGCGACATATGTCTAAGGTGGGTTTCTCTTCTTTCCCGTCTTCCGTGTTTGTGAGCACCGGACGTTCGGACATGTCGTCTCCGCTGAGAGAAGATTTTGAGGCTGGGCTAAGACCCGGGAGGTTTGGGAAACCGCCCTCAGGGCTTTGGGTTGCACTCTCCTGACCGGAGGGCCCCCCCACCCCCAGCCTGCCTCTGCCTCCAGCCGCACGTCCTCCTGGGCCCTCTGGTGGCCAAGACCGCTGCCGGTCCCGGCGCAGCCTGTCGCCCGCCTGGGATGCTCCCTCTGGGGCTCCTTGCCCTTTCTTCCCCTTCTGAGGTAGCGACAGGCTGCAGTCCCTCCGTGTGGCTGATTTGAGCCAAGAAGGCAACATGTGGTTAGTAAAATCCAGGGAAGGGGAAGGAGTGTAGATGTCCAGTTTAAGAAGACCTGGCCATTTGTACTTAAGATGCCCTCTCTTTACCGAAACAGTCTTGATGTGCATGAGCAGGACGACGTCCCAGAGCTTCGTGTCACTTGTGGCCTGTGTGTGCCCCTCCCTCCCAGTGGGGGATGATCAGGGACCCGCGATTCCCCACTTCTTAAGGCTTATGTAGAGACCTGGAGAAGGCGTGTGGTTTGTTGTTTGTAAGTAAGTTTAGCACTTGGGCTTTGTCTTGGTGCGTCCTGCCAGTCTCTAGCGGGGGGGGGGGGTTGTCGGTGCAGGGCCTCTGGTGCCAGACCGCCTCACGACGGCGCGGTGTGACTTCGGCAGGTTATGTAACCGTCAGCCGCAGCCTGCAGAGGGGGCGTTAGCATTTCCTCTGCTTCCCTCCTGCGATTCAGTCCCCCTTCTCCCTCAACGGTCAGCACCGGCTCCCAGGTCAGCTCGCATGTGGTGACCCCATTCTTGCATATCAGCCCCCTTTTTTATAGACAGTTAGAAACGCATTTTACGAGAGGCTCCCTTTTTCAAATCTGTCCTTTGAGTATCAACACTTCTAAAATCTGACTTCTCCAGCGTTAGGTTGTACATGGTACCCACTCCAGCCTTGTCCCCCGAGGCCGTTGCCGGGGCTCGCTCTCCGGGGGCTCCGCGCACTCCTTCTCTGTCCCGTCCCTTCCTCGGTAGCAATTAAGGCCAGAGCGGGAATTCCTCTCGTCACTTTTGCCGTCTTCTGAGAAATCACGTTCTAGCAAAGTATCAGGAGAGCTCGGCAGATGGCCGCCAGCAACAGACTCCAGAAACCTCAGAGGAAAATCATTGATAGATTTGGCCTCATTCAAATTAAGAACACAGAACACAGAAGTGAGAGGGAAAAGGTGAGCTGTGTTACATCCTTCGTATGGACGTGGTCTTTACCACTCGATACGAGAAAGGTGGACACAGCCAAGAGGAAAAACGAGCACCAGCTACAAGCAGTGACTCGTACGAGAGTCGCAGGTGGGTGGGTGGGAAGGCTCTGAGGGGTGTTTAGTCTCCGTGGTAACCAGCGAGGCGCCTGGAAACGACGAGGCGCCACTCCCCACTCCTCAGACTGTCTGGTACGAAAGCAGATATCCGGTGGGGGGTGAGGGAGGGGGAGAGAGCAGGCTGTCACATCACCATCACGGGAGGGCGGTTCTATCTGGGTACTTTTGTTGGTCCTTCAGATCTGAGGTCTCCATTTAACTTACATTTACCCTTGGACTCGTCAGCTGCACTTGTAGGGATTTATTTGTGGGAAGTAAGGTACCAGATTTAAGTATAAAGACCTCATCTAGTGAAAAACTAGACCGCGTCCAGCGGTCTGGTGGCTTAGTCCACAGCTGACTTGTGGCGTCTCCTGAATAAAGAGAAAGACAAGCCTGGCCCACGCCCTCCTGGTCCGTAGTGAGTGCCGGGCACCAGTTACCTGGATCCCTCACTCAGCACCACTGACCGGTGCCTGCTGCCCTGGGGGCCTTGTCTGGTACACAGCGGTCCTTCCCTGTCTCTGTGAGTCTTGCTCTGCTCCCACCGGCGGCCCTGCCCTCCTCCTGGCTCAGGGTCAGAGGTGAGAGGTGCCGTGTCTGTGGGATTAGAGGGCCCCGGGCCTGGATTCCGGTGGTTGCACTCGAGACTTTTTGTCCTGGGGTCCAAGCTTCCAGCGTCGTCCCTGAGGCACCGTCTGCTCCCTCGGCTGCTGCCCTCGCTGATGGGCTGTCACCTGAGCTCCTGCAGGATTGCCACCTGCCGAGGCTGGGCTAGAACTTCCAGTGACCCTGTGCTCCCTCCACAGTGTCACTCTGCCCAGACCCGTGGCTTGCGACCATGGGCGCCGCCTGCCCGATTATGGGCACTCCCCACTCCCGCCCCTGTCACTGCCCTTGCTGGGCGCAGCTGGCCTCCGGGTTTAGAGCCCTCCTGCTCTGGCTGTGCTGTTGGCGGGGAAGCTCGAGGGTTCTGACTGGTCAGCCAGTTCAGCCGGCCTCCTTCCTTTCCTCCGCCCGTCAGCTGGTGGTGGTGGTCCTTGCTCTATGGGGCTTGCCGGCTGGTGGGAGACAGGCGTTAAACAGGTAAACGAGTATATGATAAGGTCCGTAAAAGAAGGATGAGAACAGCCAGGAAGGATTCTTCTCCCTGCCTCAGTGAAGAAATCTGTCACCGGATCGTATAAACACCAGGACCTGGCAGATGGTTTCCAGAAAGTTACTCAGATCTGTATAGGTTTCATGTCAGGCACAGGCCTCTGCAGGGCAGAGCCTTCTTTTTAAGGCTCAGAGTAAGTGGTAGTGGTCAATTTAAGGTTTTGTTTATTCCAGCAAATCTTGGGCAATTAAGATTACAGCATATTTATATTTTCTCCTGATTGTAATTGATTTATCTGAACTTGAACACACTCCGATTCAAAAATTCTGTTCACAGTAACAGTTAAGACCCAGACAGCCAGATACTGAGAGCCTGACACCGACATGTGACCTTAAGAAATGTTAGGTACGGATCAGAGCAATGGTGCAATACAACTCAGCAATGCCAAACTAGGTTTTCCCCAGAAAGGAACTTGGCAATGAATTGTAGTTTTTCAAAGTATGGAAAAATCATTTATGTGAGAGTATCGAATGGCATTTACAGCTGGTGGAACCGTGATGAAAAGGACCCTGAGGTCCAGCTTGAGAGATAGGGCCTCACGGTACCTCCAGAGCCGTGTGCCCCTTCTCTGAACACGGTCCTCCCACCCACTGCCGAGGACCATCCGGAGGTTTGGGTTAATCCACCTTTATCCTTCATTTTCTTCTTTTGAGCTTTTTTTTTTTTTTTTTAATTTTTTTTTTCAACGTTTATTTATTTTTGGGAAAGAGAGAGACAGAGCATGAACGGGGGAGGGGCAGAGAGAGAGGGAGACACAGAATCCGAAACAGGCTCCAGGCTCTGAGCTGTCAGCACAGAGCCCGACGCGGGGCTCGAACCCACGGACCGCGAGATCGTGACCTGGCTGAAGTCGGACGCTTAACCGACTGCGTCACCCAGGCGCCCCATCCTTTTGAGCTTTTTAAAGACAAAAACGGTATGAAAACGTGTGCTGGGAGCTGTCGTCAGGGTCAACCCGCAGCCCCCAGCGAGCTGCCCGGGTGCGGAGGACCATCATTGCCCATGCCCTTGGGCGTGTTGCTGCTGCGCGCCGTGCCTTCTCTCCTCCGTCCGACGGAGAGGTGGCCGTGCCTCCCTCGTGGGTCGCGGAGGCATTAAATGAGGTCAGGGTCGTTGTGACGCACGCGTAGGAGGTCCTGACCGCTGGGTTGACAGGTGCGTGTGGTGTCTTAATTTAAGCTCCCGCGTGCGTCCAGGATTCGAGCCCTGCGTGGACAGGCAGCGAAGATGGTACGAGAGTTGGACTTGTGGGTGGACGCGGCCTCAGAGGTGGGGAAGGCCCTCGGCAGCGAGACGGAGGCTGCGAGGCCACGGGGGAGACGTGGGGCACGGGCAGGGCGTGGCGGCAGCGTCCGGCACATCGGCGGCTCACGCGACCGGAGGCTGCCCTCGCTGACCACTGCGCCCTTCTGCGTTTCAGTTTACTGAGAGAACATTCGATCGACGGCACCGGCTGGGCTCCCACAAGGACGTTAAAGGTAGAGTGCAGTGCTCTTGACCGCGGGCCTGGAGGCCCCTCCCTCCGGGAACCCGTCTCCTTGCCGCCCTGTCCGCAGCCTACTCCCTCCTCACCCCCTGCCCGCCTGCCCGCCTGCCCGCCTGCCCGCCAGGGGTGCTCGGCCCAGCATCTGCCCCGGCCGGTTCCTCTGCCCCCAGTTCTCTCCGGGGCAGTGGGGCGTTCCCGTTTTCTCCGCTCACCTCTCCCCTGTACCATGTGTGCCTCAGCTCATTCACTGTTCTTCTCTTCCTCTGTCCCCAGTCTTGTGAAGCGCCTCACTCTCAGAGGAGAGGGGAGGAGAGCAGCCGGGCGGGTAGAGGGGGAGGAGGGAAAGGACCGATGTGGCCTCTGTTCCCAGTCACAGGGAGCGAGCTCGCTGGGACAGGCCGTGGGCCCTGAGGGAGGGGAACGGGGAGCTTGCTTCGGTGTAGGCTCGAGTTGGTTCTGGTGGTGAGCGTCCTGGGCACCCCGTGAGACCACCGGCTGTGGCTTCACCTCGAGGCCGTTCTGCCGTGGCATCCGCAGGACGCCTGCACCTTACTCGCCGCCTGATCTTTTGGTCAGAAGCAGTCAGAGCTACCGGCCGGCGTTCGCTCCGTAGCGCGCCTGACTCCCGCCGTCGTTTCTGATGGGATACGAAACACGCAGCCGGAGCCCTTGCCCTGGCGCTGGGTTCCCAGCCCGCGCGTCCCTCAGCCCGAGGCTCGGTCATCCGGACCAGGCCCGTTTTCCTCGGTGACCGTGTCCCGCTCTGACACGGACGGTCATAGCAGCTCAACCTGAAAGGGTCGTGGGCGTCCCGTCAGCGTGCTTGGGACGCTCTGAGACTGGCGGGCGCGTCGCACTGTGCCGTCCTCCTCCCTGTCCCCGCCCCTTCTCTTCCCGTGTCTCAAGAGCGGTGTTTGCCCACACGTGTTAACTTTGGCTCAGTCATGCACGGCTTACAAAAGCTGCCCTAACTAAAGCCGCTTGTAAGTCCAAGTCTGTGCCAGACCCACAAAAAATAAGCATGGCTGGCAAGCGAGATGCTGCGTGGGATGCTGTCCCTTGGGTCACAAGGGTGACCCCGGGCAGGCCCGGGCCACGTGTGTGCGGGGCCCTCTCCCCACCGTCCTTCACACACGAACTCTGTGGGCCCTGCCTGTGGAAGGAGCTGCTGTGGATGAACTGACCTCATTCGTTGTATGCCTACTTACTGGTTCACCTCATAGAGACCATCCTCACCCCCGTCCCCTGCTCTTAGTGGAGGACGCTGAGGCCCAGAGAGGCGTGCGTGGGCCACAGTGGACCACAGGTGACTGACTGCACTGGCTCTGGGGCCCTGTCTAATGCCGTGCGTGACCACACCTGGAGGGGGCAGCACCAAGTAGGCCCTTTGGGGGAGGGGCCCAGGGAAGGAGTTTGGGGCCCTGTCCCGGAGTCGGAGGCCGGAGGACACCGCGCGCTTCCACAGGCCCGACCGCGGATCCTCCCGAGGTGTGGTCTGAGTATCGACTGGGGCTGAGAATGAGCCTGAAAAAAGACAAGGCTGGAGCTGACGGCAAGGAAGGCTGAAGGGGAATCTGTGGTTGAGTCACAGATGGCCGGTCACTCCGGAGCGAACATAGCGGTTTTCCATTTGGTTTTGATGGACATTTCTGATCTTTGAACGTTAGGAAACGTTACTAGCCTTCCTTGATTTTTGAAATAATTAGAGCAAAATTGTTAGGAGGCCCGTGGGACCATGGGTAATGAGCTTACCTGCAGTCCCCAAGAGGCCACAGATGCAGAAACAACAAATTTTATTGTAAAGATGACTCTTCAGAAGTCTGGACTACATGAGAGGGTGGCGAGGACGAGGTGGTGTCGGTGGGTTTCTCCCGAGCAGATGCACCTGTCTTGGGCTGGGCCTCACCCGAGGGCACTTCACACGGTCCTTGATTCTGTGCTTCCTGCCCATACTGCTCACCTCCACGTTCCCACAGCCTGTTGTCACACTGAAGAGAAGTTGTCTTTTTTTTTTTTTTTCTAAGTTTCCATCTTGGGAAAAACGGAGCACGCGGAGGATAAATTCTGACATGGTGCGATCCCGATCTCTTTGTCGAGTGTTTGAAAGACTTAGTGCATGAGAGCCTGAAACTTGTTTTCTTCTTTCTTTCTCATTCCAGGATGTTGTTTGGGGATTAAACTCTTTGTTTACTGTAAGTACATTGACCAGAATCCTGAGTTTTTCTTGATTACCCTGCCTCCTGGTTTTAAACAGCCCGTTAAGGATCACACAGAGGGATTGAAAACACAGTGCCCTGAGCAACATGCTGACCCCCTCGTTTCTGTCATATTCTTACTAGTTAGAGGAACAGTGACATGGGAACTGAGGGGGCTTTGGGGTAGCACATGGGGAAGGGGGGGGACCCCGGGAGCCCTGCTGGAGTGGCTGTCTCGGCCCTCGGGCCGGGGTGGGGGCTGGTCCCATTCTGCTTCGTGTGGGCGGCCGTTCCTGCGGGGGCACCTGGCCCGGCCCCACTTCGTGTGTGTCCTCACCGGCAGCCCTCTTCCCTCCCACGTGTCCTGGTTTGGGTGAAGGCGTATGTGGTCACACGACTTCTAGACTTTTCACAAACCTAGATCCGTAGAGTTGTTGTCTCCTCAGTGACCAGCTGCCCAAGTTTACTATCCTCAGAAAACAGCATGTCACAGGCAGGGGGCATGGGGAGAAGCTAAAAGCTCGTATTTGAACTTTTTATATAATATTCTTTTGAGTTTTTACATTTTGGTCATAAAAGAGCTTTCTTTAAAAGAAATAAGCTTCAGGGGCGCTTGGGTGGCTCAGTCAGTTGAGCGTCCGACTTTGGCTCAAGTCACGGTCTCACGGTTCCTGGGTTCAAGCCCCGTGTTGGGCTCTGTGCTGGCAGCTCAGAACCTGGAACCTGCTTCAGATTCTGTGTCTCCCTCTCTCTGCCCCCTCCCCTGCTTGGGCTCTGTCTCTCGCTCTCAAAAGTAAACATTAAAAAGAATTTTTTTAAAGAGATAAGCTTCAGAGATCTGTCTCTGCGGAGGGGAAAAAAAGCTGTGGTACTTTTAAACTCAACGTCCATGAAAATGAGCCCATCCTGGTCAGCCCACAGAACGGCGGGGTGTTGGAGGGGCAGCTTCCTGGTGCCACGGCAGGAGTGTGACGCAGCGTCCGGGATCACGGTGCTCTGCTCTTGCCTTCAGCAAGAATAAAAAGCCACGGAGCCTCGAAATGAGGCCCTCAAGCTCCCGCCTCCCTTTGCCTTCTCCTGTGATGTCCCGGGTAACCACCTGCGGCACCAGCCACAAACCCCACAGCTTCTGGCTTCGGGCCCCCCCTTAACCTAACCCTGAGAAGGCAGCGCTCAGGGGCACCGAGCCTCTGTCATTTGCTTGTGATTGTGGCTTGGCTTTTCCATTGCCGTGTATGGTTTACTTCTGAGCCGTGAGGGCTGCGGCGTGAGGGAAAATCCACCCAGCTGCTCGTGCTGCTGCTGCTTTGATTTAGCTCTTAATCTAGTGCAGCCCCCCGTCTCCAGTGCTCCAGGCCTCCCCAATTCTGAGGAGCCAACCAGAGTTGCCAATGAAGCCCGATGGTTATTCCAGCCAATGTTTTAGGTCAGATACATGGTAAGGAAGACAGAGAATTTTGTGTGTCTCGTGGTCTTTATATGCATCAGGTGTCTCGTGCGTGTGCGTTGTATTTTTGCCAGTGTCTGGGACTTACCGTTGATCTCTTACAGAGCATAGAGGCCTCTGTGTTTTCCTTGCAATATTTGTGACATATTGGTCATACCCTGTTATTTATTCCTAAGTCAGAAATACAGTCCCCAAACTTAACATTTCTCCTGAAGAGAAGTACAGGCGTCTTTACAGTGGCCACGATGGCTCTGGAAAGCAGTGACTTCTCTGAAGGACAAATGTCACTACCTTGGTTTTTAAGAAGAGGTATCGGGCAATATAAAGATAAGGCACGGCCTCTGATTTGAAATCTTCGAGGAGAGAGGAGTAGCCATTCCAGAGTTTTCTTTTTTAAGATTTTATTTTTTTTAAGTAATGTCTCCGCCCAACCTGGGGCTCGATCTCACAACCCCAAGATCAAGACTCACGTGCTCCACTGACTGAGCCCCCCCCCCCCGAAACCCCCCAGGATTTTCTGAGGCAGAAAGGTCTGAGGGGATGGGCCTCCTGGCACTGTGGCGCTCACTTAGGCTCCACACGCCATTCCTGCTGGGTATGAGTGCCGTGCTGCGAAGGAGGGTTAACGGATAAAGAGAAGATCCAGTTAAGGTCAGCCTGGAAGGAAGCCACAGACTTGCAGCGGCAGAGATGTTCATCACAAAGTAAAGCAAGGAATGAGTTTTTGAAGACAAAAGAGTGGGATTTTTATTCGGAAATGCTAACGAGGGTGGCTCTTTATCAAAAGTAGCATTAGAACTTCATGTGGTCACCATCCTCCATTTTCACCAAACGTTGGACAGTTGTATGTAAACATCCCCAGTCCGCCCACATTTTGAAGAAGACACGCACACGTACGGCACGCTTCCGTCCCGAGAGCCGTGAGCCGTGACGGAGTTTCTCTAGCTTGTCCCGTGGCTGATTAGCTTCCCGTCTCCTGGTTCGTAAAGTGAACACACGTGACAGCGGAAGAACAGGTTCTTGCCATTGTTTACTTTGAGTTTTTCTCTCTTTTAGGATCTTTTGAATTTTGATGATCCGCTGAATATTGAGGCTGCAGAACATCACCTGCGGGACAAGGTAAGCTCGCGGCAGCGCCCTGGGTTGGTGGCTTTCTGTCTCTCGAGCAGATAAACACGAGGCTGAGAATGGTGGGTCTGGCCTGCAATTTAAAGCCATTGACAAGCAATTGGTAAGTAATGTCTGACCCAAGGTCAGACAGAAGGGTTTTTATTAGATGTGGTTTCCGAGTAGAATTCAATCCGCGGGATTTAAAGCCAGTAACTGTCAGTTTTCCTGACGAACCGTGTGGGGCCCAGCGATCACCATCGCCCTGCCTGCCCTCCCGTTGCACTTAGGCTCACACGCTCGCTTTGCGGTTTGGTTTTGCTCCAGCATAATTGGATCCTGTTTATTACTCTTAATCTTCAATTCCTTTTTTTTTTTTTTTTTAACTTTTTTCCTCCAAGTCTGTGAATAAACCATCACTCACTCATTTTAGGAACTAATGGTCCATAAAATGGCTCTACTGTACTTTTTTCAACCATTTCATTGTGGGCACTCAGGTTTTTCCCATGTTTTTTCCCCCCAACTATGACAGTGATGCAATAAATATCCCTTGCACGCACATCCTTAAAAGTACACGAACAGAGTGTAGGAGCAGGAGTCAGGGTGACGGCCCTGTGACTGAGACGGGGCTGTGAGAGACTGATCGGCTTTAGTTGGGGCCAAGCCAACTAGCCAGTAAGGCCTAAGCAGACGCAGCTGCAGGGCTAACTTGGTTTAGTCGTAGAGCCTCGAGTTGCATTTTCTGAACCGGATTCCTCCCTGGTGAACCCTCCGCACCCCAGAAGTTAGCCACCCAGCGCTGTTACCGACACCCAGCCTGAACGTGTGAGGTTCTAAATGCTGCGCTTAAGAGCGGGTGCTTCTGTGTATGTGAGGCCTGCTGCGTGTGTGTGCTGTTACCTACAACCTCGGGCGGAGAGGCGAAGAGAGGTGCTGCCTCAGCAGGGCCCCAAAGGGGGGCGGGAGTGCCCGCGAGAGCCGCGCCCCCCAGCACGGATCTGACACAGGCTCACGAGACCGTGTGACGGGCACAGCAGGGGCCGGTGAGGCGTGCAGTGGGACCGCGGGGTCAGTGGGAGCTTCCGGTCAGGCAGGGGAGGCTGGGAGCAGCAGAGGCCTTCAGGAGGAGCTGGGGTGCGTGGGCCCCGGGCAGGGGTACCCCCCGGCTGCTCCCACGGCTTGCGCTGCTTGGCAAAGCCTTGGTTTGTCCGCTGCGCTGACGAGCCCCTTGCGGGTGTGCTCCGGGACCCATTCACACGGTCACGCCACTTGTCACTGTCCCTGACAAGGGCTTCCCCACTCAACACTGTGTCTTATAGAAACCTAGTCAGGGGGAGAAAGGGCTGATAATGGGAGTACTTCCAGGGCCACGTGGAGCAAGCCCTGTTACCCGTGGCCTATCCGTTTATTTCTCTTGGAAGGTTGCTTTCCATTCTCTGATGAAATAAGGGGAAAACTGCGTTTAGAAGCTCTCAGCCCCGGTGAGCTGGACCTAAAGTCCTCCAACAGTGATGCCTCCACGTGAATTCTAGGAAGTGCCCCAGCCCCACCCACGTCCTCATGCCGAGTCGTGATGACAGTGACTGAACTTTTCTCGTTACTCTATTTCGTGGCCATTGTTCCTCTAAAGTTTGATGGTGGCCACTTCAGTGCCAGGTGAGGGGCTAATAACACTCAAGGATCTGTTGATGAACAATCACTGTCCCCAGGGAGTGCACATGCTAGTGAGCAGAGGGGGTGGGCGTTGGTGGGGCGGGAGGCGGTGATGGGTTCCCTGTCATATGTAGGGTGCTCAGAGAAAGCCTTTCTGATAAGATGAGTAGAGATCAGGTGTGAACCAAATGGATATCAGGGAAGAGCATTCTGGAGTGTTGACAGCAGCGCAAAGGCCCTGAGGCAGGAGTGTGCTGGGGTGTTTGGAGAAGACTTAGAGCAGAGTTGCAGGACAGCCGTGACATAGAGAGCAGCAGCAACCTTGAGTGGCCTTTCTGGACTCTGTCCCACACACTTCTCAAAGACCGTTCACTCTCCTGTTAATCTCCACGAGGGAGGGACTCTTGTTATCCCTGATTTGCTGCTGGGGAAGTAGTGCCACCAAGGGGGTAAGAGACTTGCCGGGAAGGGGCAGAGCCCAAGATGTGAACCCAGGCACGTGGCCTTGCTCGGTGGGCCCTCAGGCAGGGGCGGAGGTGGGATGCACGAGGGCCTCCTGGAGGCCGTGGGCTCCGCTTCGTCCAGGGTGAGGGGAGGGCACAGGGGGTAAGAGAGCAGAGGCAGTTTTGGTGTCGAGGGCCAGACGGGGTGGGGGTGCCCGTGGAGTCTTCACATCCTGCAAGCTTTGGTTGCGGCCCCTTAGGCGCTGACGGTACTGCTGGCCTCTGGGTGCTGTGGGAATGGCCAGCCCGGGCCGCCGGGAGGGCCGTCAGAGCTCCCCACTTGCGTCACCAAACCATTTCCAGACCCTTAAGCCAGGAACCTGCCGACCTTGAAAGGGTCACTACGTGAGTGGAGTGTGGGCAGAGGAGGAGCTGCTCAGGCCGGGACTGGCCACGGGAGGGTGCGGTCCTCGCAGGGCCCCTGTGCTCCCGACGACGTGCGGCAGGAAGGCACTGCTGCAGGGCGGCCCCTTGCTGTGTTGTAGGAGTTAAGAGGGGTGAGGTCTGCCTGTCCGATCACAGCGTCCAGACGCTGAACACGTGTGTTGTGAGGTGGGCGCGTAGCCCCAGGGCCTCTCGCCCGGTCCCGGGACCTCGGGTGCTAAGCTTAGAGCAGGTCTGAGGGACACACCTGGGGTGCTTCCTGCCCGTGCCGGCCTGGAGGTGCTGAGGGCCACGCCGCCTCTCTTCAGCGGATGTGTCGGGCTCTGCCTGGCGCCCAGGGAGGGGCCCCTGCCGCAGGCCCACCTCTTGGCACAGCCGTCCCTCGGATGGCGGGCCGCACTCGTGCCGTGAGAAGTGGGTACGTTTCCAGTAGGCAGCAGGGTCTGCGGGGGTCGTTCTAGGAATTCCGATCTGGACGTGGGTCTTCGGAGAGCAGCAGCTGCGACTCATCCCCAGTTGTGGTCAAGAGCCCTGTCCTGATCTCCGTTGTCCCCTTGACCACACTGTGGGCCACACTCTCCCCATCTGCAAAACCAAGGGTCTCAGGCTCCCTTCCACTCGGAGATTCTGTGTTTGCGTCCCCACCCCCAGCCCTCCTGGCACGGCGTCCCGCCCACAGCGGACACCTGGAGTAGCAGGGAAGTGGCACTCGGCTCCTCGGGCCTCTGGTTGTCCTGCGGCCGTGGCAGCTGGGGGCCGGTGGGGCCCAGTCCTGCCGGCGCTCTCCAGAGCACGCAGCGGCTCCTTGGCTCGGGTGGGTCCCACGCGTTCCGGAAGTGGTGCTTCCCTCGCTAACTCGCTCCCTCTTGTTCCTTCTCCCCCGATCCCTCTCGCTCCACAGGAGGACTTCCGGAATAAAGTGGAAGATTACATTAAGCGTTATGCCAGATGATAGGAGGAGGAGACGGTGGGGCTGTGGACTGTGTGTTGTAGGCTTGTCCCCAACCGCAACCAAAAGGGAGCCTCCTCCCCAGCCCTCGCGCTCCCTCAGACCCCCGGGTCGTCCGCATCCTGTGACCACGCTGTCCCGAGGAAGAGCCTCTGCACGACCGCCCATTGTAGATGGAGAGTCCCACATAAATACAGCAGGAACATGTGTCTGGGGTCCTAAAGAGTTGTCTGCTTACCTTAACATGTTTACTTTTTGGAAACTGTACTGTATAGGCTGTGGATGAGATTCCTGAGCAGTTGTCATGAACTCAGAGTTGAGGCTAGCGCTTGCTTTGTCCCCCTTTTCCCAAGCCCTTCCCCGCACACGTGATGCTGGTGATGTGCTCGGTGTAGCTCGCAGGTGGGCGGTAAGAAGCCCGCTACACACTGTGATTGGATGCAGATTCTCTCAGCTCCTTCCCGCCGACGTTGGTCCTGCCTACATGTCATGAAGCTTCCCAGAATGCATAGTCATTCACTGTAGATCTCTTACTGAAATGCGTATTTTATTTAATGTAAGTCTATTTTGGAACAGATTTGTAATTTGTACAATTTAATGCTTTAATTATTTTTTTCTATCTTCATTTAGTTTGTATTTTCATTGTATAGAGCAGACAGGAAGATGCTGGGGAGAAATACAAAGAAAATATGAAAGACACATTATTCCTTCTGTCCAAATGAAACAAGAATTTGGCTTTTAAAAATCAACTCTTTGGGGTCCAGTTGGGGCGAGGAAGTTTTTGGAACCTTCTGAAGCTAGATCTGGGTGGTTTAAAACAAAAGGCAGGGAGCCCTTTCCCACCTGCTGCCCCGAGGAAACCGGCCAGAGCCCAGGTCAGGCAGGGGCTTGGTGTCTCCACAGTGGCCTTGTGGTTGCAGGCCAGTAAGCAGTGCCAGGGGGCCTCGGGTCCTGAGGGAATCAGCCACCCATGTCTCATGCCCCTGAGACCGTGCCTGTGGCCTTCTGAGCTTGCTGTGTTTCCGGGCCATCTGCAGGGAGCCTCCTAGGGCCTTGCAGAGCTGGGAATCAGCAGCAGCATCCAGCCAGACTCAGGCCAGTGCACTTCAGAGGAAGAAAACTAAGGAGGCAGGTGGATTTACTCCAGCAGTTAGATGTCTGACCCCGTGAAATCAAATGCAAAATAAATAATTGTAGGGTTTTCACCTGCTGCCTGCCTGGCATAGTCAAGTTTAACAGCCTCCTCTGACCTCTGGATCCCCCCTCTCTGCCATCTCCCCAGCCTGGTTGGTTTTTCCTAGTTTATAATGCACTATCTGATTACGAGATCAGCGTGTCCTAGAGATGGCCAAGGAGGGAATGTGGGCCGTGCTTCCTTCCCGTTTGTAATGTGCCCGTTAGACTGAGGGGGCCCTGACCGATCGGCCACACCTCTGGTGCACAGCGCAGCAAGAGTGGGGCCGGATCGAGGGCATGGTGGCAGCTGGGAGGCTTGGGGCCTGTGAGGAGAACAACAGTAACCCTGTATCCTGGAGCCTGGAAGAGGCACTGAAGCTTACACACCGATTGGAGCAGGACACAGGGCAGGTCGGCAGCTGGCCTGCCCGCACTGTGGCCTGAGTTCTGCCCCTGTGATCCAGGCCACATGGTTCTGTGCCTGGGCAACCCCAGGCTTGAGTCGTCATGTCTCACGGCTGTCCGAGCAGCTCCCAGGCTGCACAGCTGGTGGTGCAGATGGAGGTGGAAGAAATGACTCCAGACCCCAGGGTTGAATGGAAATCTGCACGTCGTAGTAAAAGAGTACCTTCTGGACGAGACTGGAAGGTACGGCTGCTAATTCTGACCTCAAAATATTTGCGCAATAGAAAAATACTTTGCTTCTCAGAGATCAGTTAATTCCTCAGAAATGACCTTTCCCCGTGACAAGATCATCCTTTTCTGTCCGGTGCAAATCCCTCCGAGGCCTTGCCTTCCCCCATCTTGGTAAGGAACACAGCCAGCCTGGCCCAGCCCATCGTGGTGGGGAAACAGTACTGCACTGGGCACGTGGCCAGTGGGGCCCGGGGCATCTTTGGGCGGCTGCAGCACCCTGACTTGCAGGCCTTTTGGTTTCTTGGCAGTCTCCTCCCCGCTCGGGCCAAAGTAACATTTGTGACTCCAGTCCATGGGCTCCACCAGGCAGATGATAATTGGTGGTTTCCGATCTGCCAGGGGAGGGTTTCCAGTCCTGGAGCCAGATGGCATGGAGCAGGCCCTGGGAACAGGAAGCTCCGGGCTTCTCTGATGTCCACTGGGGTCCCCCTGACTCCGAGGCGTAGCGTTTGGATGTCAGCAACACGTTTCCCAAGCACACTCAGCAGGAAACAGTTCCAGGGTAGACCTGTCAGAAGGCAAAGCTCACGTGTCTCACCTCTCAAACAGACTCCCTCTGAAGTCTTTGTCAGGAGCCAGGGCGAGTGCGTTAGTCTGGTGTTAAGGACTGATCCTTTGCTGTGTTACTTCCGCCCTCTGTATTTGGCTTGTTGTAGAGTGCTGGCCCAGGGAGCAGCGTCTTGGGTTATGGTTAACAAGACACCCTGCTTTATCTACAGTCCTCCATAAGCACCAAAAGCCTTACAGGGCTGTTTATGGTTTCTACCAACTACAGATTAAGCCAGGTTGTGCACCTGCTAGAGAAGTCTGCGGTACAGAAATACACGTGAAAGCTTTGTAAGGGCTGGTTCGGACTCTTTGCAGTAGCTAAAAGAGTCTGAATGTGTAGTCTTTAAAAGGAACATGTACCTTAGTGTTTGCTAGTTTAAATGTTTCAAGATGTCCAGGCAGATTTTCCTCTGCCCTCAGTCCCCCGGCCCCCACACTTCTGTGAAACGCCCCCATGGGTGCAGAAGGCAACAGCCGCTGTCCCCGTGATTTGGCCAGAGCCGGACCAGTCCCAGCAAGAGTCTCAGGCCACCTGGTGGCTGCGCCGGCGTGCAGTCCTCTTATGGTAGCAGGAGCAGAGATTGGGCCGGGCTCTGGAGCGCCGCACAAAAATCCCAGAGCGCAAACTCCAACTCCCAGGTGGTGGTGCTCCCAGAGGATGTGCCCCACTGTCTCCTGGGATTGCTGTAACCGCCCCCCCCACCCACCACCACCGCTGTGAAGACAATCACAAATTCCTATTATGTCAGGCTTCTTCCCGACGGGATGATCAAAATCGACCAGAATATCTATTAATGTAAGATTCAAACCAGACGTCACAGTGAGCCACCAACCGCTCAGCTCGTGCAGGCTATCCCGGGATCGGTTGCACTTGCATTCACTTAAAAATAGGTTTTACCTTGGAAAGTCAGGTTTGCTACAAGTTTGTTACTCATCAAAGTGTCTAATAAAATGCTCATGTATAGTCTTAGCAAAATAACGTATTTTAACTTTGCCAAAGAACTTGGGGAATGAGAGCACTTGTCACTCCTTCTTTCCTCCTGAAGTCCTGCCTCAAACAAGTCAACAGCTTGGAGGGGCTAATTCGGAAGGGTCCGTGTTGCCCACTGAAGTCCCCACTCATGGCCTGGGTTTCCATGGGTTACCAGAATTGATGGAGTGAAAGAACTGTGGTTTGAAAAAAGTTCTTCAAAAAGCCCAGTGATGAAGACATTTGGGGACCTGGCCTTGTCAAGAATGTCTATTCATGTTAAGCTGTATAAAGAACTGAATTATACTCTTTAAAAAAAAAAAAAAAATCATCTTAGGGCTCATTCATTTCCATTGCCCAGTTCATTGAGCCAGAGTTCTTTGATAAATTCACTTTTCATGTCAGGGCCAGCTGGAAGAAACCATGCTTGCCCAAGAGTTCCTGGTGCTGGAGGAGAGACCGGACAGCGCCCCAGCTCCGCAGAATGGGGTAAATACCTGTCAGGGGCCAGGCGCCAGGAAGGACCAGCCGCGGGCGGCGCGGCACCTCGTGCAGTCGCCCCGGTGAGCCTTCCCACCCAGCGGCGCTCTCCCTGCTCTGATGCCCGTGTGCAGCCTGCTCCCTCTCTGGCCTCGTACAACTGACTCCTCTGTGTTGCAGTTTTTCCTGTTGGGTTTTTATCACCTCGGTGTCAGACCTCATTGACCCAACTGGTGCTCGCCAGCCGTGGATCTTATCGGATGTCTCTTGAAAAATGCATTCCGGCCTCAACGGCCCTGTTCACCTGTGTCCTGCCCTCCCACCCCCACTCCCAACCAGGGTGAGGCCGAGGGGCCCTGAGGTGGGTGCAGCACCGGGCATAGAGAGCCGTGTTGTCTGTTCAGCCTCAAATGAGTCTGAGAGGACCTGACTCCCTGGGGTGGTTCTCGATGGGAGCGGGGCAAGGGGGGAGTCCAGTGGGCACGGATCCCACTGTGGTTGCTGTGCACTTCACCAGACCAGCCCGTGGTGTGTGACAAGGGCCACAGTTGATGCAGGAAGACCTGGCTGACAGCCCGGTGAGACCAGGACAAACCGGTGGGACCACCTGTCCACATTCCCCCCAGCTTGCTGCCGGGGGGGGGGGGCACTTCTAATCTTCCCATCCCCTCCAGAAGAAGCCCGCCTGCACCTAGCACATGAGTCCATTGTGACTGGCCCCCTGTCCACTGTGCCAGCCACTGCCCTGAAGACCCTGCCTGACCTCAAAGTGGGTCATGACCTTCAGGCCTTGTGACAAGGTCTACCTCCCTCTTGGGGCTCCTTCCGCGATTGAGTTCACATGGTGCCACTGCTGGGAGGCCTACCTGACAGGCAGGTGGACAGCTCCTGGGATAGCCTCACCTTGCCCAGGCTTCCAGGAGCACAGGGGGTGTGGCCTACAACTGGTTCCATCCGGAGTCAGGCAGCATGGGGAGCACGGGGCCTTGGCTTGGCCGTCCCGTGAAAACGGAATCGCTTGTTACAACAGGGTTACTAGGTGCTGAGTAAATCTAGCAGGACCTTCATAGTCCAAGCACAGCAGATGCATAATGCCTGCTCAAGACAGCCCCCTCACTGCAAGCCCGGCGTGCTGCCTGGAGGCAGTGGCTGATGCCTCACAGGTGAGCGACCCACCCTTCTCTGAGAGCTGGCCGGTGCCGAGTCTGAACAGTCTGCTTTGCTGGAGCAGGTAGGACTGGAGAAAATACCGCAGAGTAGAAATAATACCAAGCAGATTCGGGCTGAACGGGACACTTTGAGTGTAGCATTAAAAGGAACTTTTTCAGGGGAGAAAACCACATGTTTAGGGAAATGCAGTGAATTGCACTTTTGACTCGGAATCAAAGTCCCAAGGGGACAACAGGCTGAAATGAAAAGGCAACAGGATAGAGCCATAACGGGTAAGACATCCGCGGCAGGACAGGGCAGGGTCGATGCTGGGAAAACAGATCAATCATCTGGAGACAAATTTGGTCAGTTCTAGAGTGCAGAAGGGAACAAGCGTTATGGGGAAGATAACAGAAGGGACAGAGGGCACTTGCACTAGTCCAAGATGGGGTAACCGTCTCATTTGAGCAAGCAAAATCCTGACAGTGTAGACAGAATTACAGTTTTCAGCCCTCGGCCAGCAGGCGGAGCAGGGCGGTGCTCCCTGAGTGAGACCTGCCCGGCCTCAGCCCAGGCAAGGGGAGACGCAGGTGGAATCCAGCGGGCACTGACCTTGAGACGGGACTAAGGATGTGGGGAGGCCACCGGAGCTAGAGTTCCCAGGGGAGAGGGCAGCACA